TCTCGGTGACGACTTTTCCGTACGAGCGAGTGGAGCGTGGTTCCTTCCCGTCGAAGAAAGCAGGGGATGTGCGTCACACGATTCGCACGAACAAAGCGCCGCACGCAACGCAACGGAGGAGCCACATCGGCCCAAGCTCGAGCACGAATAATGCAAAGAAAAAAAAAAAAAAAAGAAGTGTGGATGCTATGGCAACAGTCGGTCGTGCATTTATCATTGGGAAAACCATCCGAAAAAAGAAATGCAGAACGAGCGAATGAACGCGCAGGACGAGCACTGACTAACAACTGCAGGAGTAAAAGTGCAGGAGTAGTCAGGCGCTCGTCCTGTGTGCGTTCCTTTGCTGGCGCATCGATTCATTTTACACAGTTTTGTACAATTTCGAAACGGTACATACTAAAGTTTAGATAAGGAAGACCGAAGAGCAAGCACAGAACTCGGAAATATGCGAGTGCAACTACCTTGATGAGCAAGGCGGAACACGCCAAGTATACGCTCACACGAATTACGTTCAGGCAAACGATGACTCTACTCTCTGCAAGGTCAGTCATCCATCAGTCCACAACCATCGCCCACAAGTGTCCAAAACGCAATGCGCACGTCAGTTGAGAAGCCGTCAAAAAGCTGAGGCGCACGACGCTTACAGAAAAAAGAGAAGAAAACAAAATGGGGACAAGGGATGTCACGTAAGTGAGGTTTACGGTTCTCCACAGAATGCCATTTTCCCTGACACGCAAAGCAAACGAAAAGGAAAGAGGAGCGGCCAACACACTTTTAGGGCGAACGCATTCCGAGCAGTTCACTCACAGCGTGACTCTCTGGCACGAGCAGCTCGGCGATACCAACGTATGACGCTTTTACAGGCCCAAAGTACGTTACTGGAGGCCGCGGTGTTCGACAAAGTATGGAACTAGAATACGAGCCCATTATGTACCAACCTATTTCAATGTACTTTCCCCCAGCATTTTTCGCACAAAAACAAAATACAAATTAAAGAAACTGCTACGGCGTATCTTTCTACGATTGTAATGCATGTCGTGTGTTATTTCACATACACTCATTCGCAAGCATGATGCTGCACAATTATCCAGTGTGTTACTTTGCTTAAGAAGCACTTGCTCTAATTCTTTCATTTTTCCTTTACACCTTTTCACTTTCAATTGCTGTAACTATTGTATAATGCTTGTAACTATTGCTTATATGCCCTGTTGTTTCATACTTGTATGCACGTTGTTTTTTGTCCAATCATCCCTCTTAGGCCATGAAATACAATCTTGTAACGCGTCCGGTTTGTTTTGCTGTCTGCCAGGCTCTGCCACTCAAGCCACCAATTGGCTTTGGCAGGCCTAGTCACATGTACTGTTTTATTTGAAGAAATAAAAAGTATTATTATTATTATTATTATTATTATTACAGCGCCATTCAACCCGTGCTAAAGGTGTCATTTATTTCGGTTTCACTGCTTGTTCATATAGAGCACTGCGTTGCGGGGACCAACAGAATTCGTTTCTATTACATTCCAGTTGCAAGTTCAGTGGTTGCCCCGCGCCTTTTTTTTTATGTACTCGCTTCTTTACCTGCCAGAATATTCATCATGTAACCGTACACAAGCTTCCCGACAAATCACACCATTCAAAATGCACCATTCAGCCAGTCTTAAGACTCTAGAACGAGAGAAGATAAATCAACGTGAAATACTACGTAGTTTTTTTTTTTTCTTCGGCAATGCCTTCACACCTTTTGCAATCCGCGTTCATTCATGCACTCTTAGAAAAAAAAAAGTTAGAAATCAGTTGATAAACGCGTGTGTTTACTAGTTTCCAGAGTATTTTACTACCTTCGCGGCACACTTTTACAAGCCACCAGCTAGTACAGCTAGTAACTTTAGCCGATACTAACCAGGGAGCCTTTCTTAAGTGTTTTTAACTAAGCAACTTCTGAGCCACCTACTTTGTCAGATCTTTCGTAGATTCCGCAGTATATTTTGCCGTAATTGCGACATCGTAAGCAATATTTAGGCAAGCTCTAATTTTATTGACTACATTGGAATAGAAGTTTCGTGCTACGTAATGGCACACACATAAGTAAATATATAGGGACATGATGATGCATATAGATTCTGTGACTGCTAGCCAGTACGCAGTGTGTGGTCCCAAAGCAGGGGTATATATAGTCTTGAAGATTTACTTGTGCATGTGTTCTCGTAATCCGCTCATACTCATATGAGCATATAATCATGTGAGTATGAAAATTATACGCTCATATGGACTCATATGAGCATATCATCATATGCTCATATGAGATTCACATATGATCATACAAATGTGAATCTGATTTCATCATATGATCATGTCGTCAATTCTCTATAAGTATTTTGCTGTGATGCCCACTTACTCCAGTATAGTTACAAGGCGTAATTAAAAGCCATTAAGAATTTACGATGGCCATTGCGATTCGTTTATCCTATACTTTTGTAATAGAATCATATTGATATGGCCACGAACATTTAACAAAATAGGCGAAGAACTCAATTTGCGGGGTTTACTACAATTTGGTAATGAACTAACCCCTCGAGTCAGCACTATTCAATAACAAGGTAGTAATTTTAACTACCCAACGACGCAGTGCTTTTACACAGCCTGTTAGTATTTGGGTTAGAGTTTGTTACGAGCCTAACCAGGTAGTGCCTTTTACTAGGCTTGCTTTTACTAGCTGGTTAGTGGATTCTGTGACAAGTAACGGGCTAGTACTTAGTAGTGAATATACCAACGTTTTTTTTTTTCTAGGAGTCACGATACGTCAACATCTCATATGATATGTTGACGCATCGCAGGGATGAAATGATGCGAGAAACAGTTCTACTTCAGGAGCTCTAAATCAGCTTTATATCGCTTTCTAACTTGTCGTTTAAATAAAGTTTTAACCCAACACCAACGAGTCACGTAAATACTGCCCCTTCATCAACCTTGCGGAAAAAAAAAAAAAACGGCGACCAAAAACTTTCATATATAATACTGTTGACCACAAAAGTTGAAAAGTGCGCCCCACCTTCTTTGTTTATATTTTGTAAATCCCAATTTATTATATCTTTCTCAAAAATTTGTTACGTCTGATCTGTGGTCTTAATTGCTGGTTGCCGCCCGCCCCTGTGTTACCTTCGCTTTTATTGGCCAATCATGGGTAATAATCATGTTCTTATACATTATTGTATATTTTTATATAAGAAACACATGGGAACGTACTAGGCTACGTTGAATCCGGCTTCATTACAATATAAATACTGAAGATAAACATAAACACAAGAAAAACTTAAAGTGAGTAAGGGGGCTTGCCCGATTTCTGACACGTACGCGCTTAAAGATGCAGCGCAAGTGTATACGACGGTCGAATTTCGGCTTCGCCTATAGTCACATACGGCTTCACTGAAAATACCTCCGTCAGTGAAACGCATATCACATTAGTATGCGGCAGCGACGACCTCCATCAGATATGCTGCAACCATACTTTCCGATTTCTGCGTTCTTCCCACGGTCACCTCGGCCTTCACCGAATGATTTCAGTCACCTGCTTCGGAGGCATTCACACTCGAAACGCTCTCCGCATTACGTCTCGGTTTCTACGCTTATAGACGCGCACCGATGCGAAGTGAAGAGACCGTATACGCTCGCGCTGCCGTGGGAATACGCCGAGTAAAAGGGCGTGGCCGCACGCAGCGCGAGACGAATCCATGTCACCTTGGGGGCGGGCGCCACAGCTGACGGAAGAAGGTCGCGCATAGTTATACCCCTCGTGTCACTGACGCGCTTCGTTCGAGCGACAACCTCCGTTCGCTAATCTTCAACTCTCGTCGCTGTATTACACTCTTATACACTCTAAAAACGTTTTGTGGAATAACTGCGCAGTTACCCCCGAAAAGAGCTCTTTGCTTCTCCTAAAGACGGAACGCGCGCAAAAGATTGCACACGGCACGACATGGAGGGGGCACTTTCCTCCTTGTGAAGTAAAGCGCCCGTTTTTGTTTGTTTTTTTTTAATAGTAACTGCAGGAATGTTCGCGCCGTGTGCAAACCATCCATTGGTGCCTACACAAGCCTGTTTCCTTTCTGACGGTACGCTAGCATGGTGTATAGTGCACGCACATGCAGACTGACTGGTCGTGAGTTCGAATCCCGTGTACTTGCCGCAAATTTTCCTAAATTTTTTTTTCTGTATGTGATGACTGCACATCAATTGTACATGTACTGAAATGCCAGCACGCTTCGGAAAGGCTGGTTAAGTCAGCCGAAAACCTGACTTTTCTTTTGCTAACTGCTCCCTTGAGGTGTAACCTCGAGAGTGCGGTTACTCCTTCGCAGTTACTACCAAAATTGCGCAATGGGCGTGGAGTTACTCCTCTAGAGGAGCAACCTCAATACCCTTTTTACTTCTTTACTTCTTTGAGTGTAGCTACCTCGTTCTGACCCCATATCGTATCTAGCGTTTTTAAGAGCGAAGTTCCCGAGTCCTCACTGTGCCGGACCACTCTCGTCGAAGTCGAAGCGCAGGGGCAAAACAACCATGCGATATATGTCGTCTACAGTGCGTACATATGATTAAAAAATAAAAATTCTTTATGTCCTTTATCCTTTCGTCAGAGCTCCATCACCAGCATCCACTTTGTGGATCTGCATTTTTTTTGTTACCGCCATTGTAATGATAAACCAAACAACCCAGTTAGGAAACTCGTGCTGTAGATGCACACAACATACAGGTAGCCTGCTACGCCTTTGAGACTTTCGTCTCACGTTTTAGAGCTATAGCAGGCGATACACTACATTCCGCTGCAAAACACTGAAACGTTAGAGCGAGCATACTATACTGCTACTGAATGAGAAAAGAAGTTTGCCGTTTCTATTTTCTTTCCTTGACGTATATGTCAAGGTTACAGTGCTTGGTACCCACAGTGTAGTCAACAGAACAGCATGCGTGAACTACTGCAAGGTAAAAGGGAAGAACACTCACCCAATTGGCCCGTTTGGAAAATCCTGCGAGGAAACAAAAGAAAAAAAAAACAGCTTTAGCCACAAATAAAGATATCAATCGGCATACAAAAAGAAGTCACGAGGTTCCTTAGAGATTCGTTGAACACGAGAGCATCGCTAATGCCGTCCGGTGTGGCTATCTCACGGTCATGATCATCATCTGAGCTTGTGAGGTCACGTGATACAGTGGCCCCCATTGTTGACATTATGGCAGCTGATGATGACGACTAATTATAGCTCAGCCCTTTGAAATGGGCCCGTAGCTTTCAACCAGCGCCTCGATAAGAGATTCGCACGGTGTCGCCGTTATACCGTGCGGTGAAGTCGCGCACTTTAGGCGAGGACAAAGGGGGATCGCATAGACACAACAATGCGCCTGTGAGATTCTATAGGCAGTGCTGGTTTACCACACAGAGGGTACAGCGTGAGCGGAATCATGTACCCAAAGGTCATTCGAATTGACCGTGGACACATAACCTAATGCATTCTATAGAGAGACTTGAGTCTCATCATCCAAAACGGTCTATTGCGTCACACGTGAGCAAGCCCACGTTGCAAGAATACCCAAAAGCAGAACGTCAAGAGGCCAAGAGGAAGGGAGGCACGCACGCGAGCGGCGTCGACGCGAAACATTTGTCGCCGCCGCTGTCAAGTCAGTCAGCAGGCACGAGCGCGCGACACACAGCGTGTCCGAAGAAAGAGACGCCGTACAGAGAGCCACGCAGCTCTCTTGGGTGGCGCAACCCGAGGGAGCTGGATCTGCTCGCGAAGAGGATCACAAATACACACGCACAAAAGAGAAAGCGGGGAGGCGGCGTGGTACATATACTCCTGCAGACAACGAGCGGTAATTTGGCAGAAGAAAGACGCGAATCGGGTGCCAGCACGAATTCCCGAAATATCTCGCCGGTCCCGTCCCTTTGGGAGGAGAGAAGATGCGCGCTCCGAGCACACACGCCGTTAGGGGCACGCAGAGCTATACAGGAACAGTAGGAAAGAGGGGTGGGGCTGGGAAAAGAATGGGATCCTGTCGCGCTTTACGACGACTACAGGGACGAACTCGCGAAGAGGGGGATGGAACGAACGAGCACTTCAGGAGCCGCTGTTCTGAGCGTTATGTACAGGACGTCGACGTTTCTGAATTCGGAGCACCGTCATGTATATAGAGCCCCCCTCTTCAGAAAATTACGACTGCCAGTTTTGCTTGAAAGAGAGGAAAATGCGCCTGCGGAGAAGTGACAAATCAACGGACCCCGCCAAAAAGAAAAAGGAGAAAAAAATATACAACACAGGGAAAGCCACGCGCGGAGGTATATATGCGTCACGTCTCGGTGACGAAGCCTTCCAAGAGAACACGTCGTAAGTACAACAGGGAAGAATTTGCAAAACCGCTTTGGTTGCCAAACATCATCACCGCGCGCACCTAAAACCATTCGTGTTCGAACGAATGCCGGCAATAGTATACATTGGGCTACCTGCCTAGGGGCTGCAGGATGAGAGACAACAACGGAAATAACGCAACCGTCAGATCACGGCTGCTCAGAACCAACGGTTGGCGCAAACGCACTTCGCGAACGAAGCAGGCAAAGACAAAAAGTGGCATGGAATTAAGAAAAAAATACGATATGCACTAATTAGTGATAAGGGAGCGTACCCGCGACTTCTGCATCAGCAGCCGAGAACCTGAACCACTGTACTACAACCGCGGACTACAAAATCCCACTTTGCCATTCTCGCTAACTTCAATAACTGCAGCGACACCATACGGCATGAGCGCGTGACAGGTCACTAAGCGAAATCGAAACGGCGCACGTCAACGCCGAACAGGAAATCCCGCACGCATTAATCGAGGAGCAAAAAACAACAACAAAAAGAACAGCGGCGCCCTAACGCACACCGTTTCTGGAGAGACAACGTGACGAATGCGTGGAGACAGGCGGATGCAAGAGATTCGGGAACAGAGGCTCGGGTGGCGAGATGCAGAGAGCAACATTGGGAAAGATCGCACGCGGCGACTGCCAGGCAGCTGACGGAGGAGGGAGACTGCAATCCGGATTCTTGAGGGCAGCACGTCAGGGGCTGCCCAGGCAGACAACGCGCGGCAGAAAGCGACGCAAGGAGCGCCGCGGACAACACACCGGCGGCGACGACTAGCGAGCAAGCGGCCCGAATGACTCAACGGGAGTGCTTGGGAGAATGTCTATAGAATTCCGGCTGGCTGTTCTTTTGTCGAAATTTGCATGCCGCGTACTCTAAAGAAGTTTTCAATTATACTTTGACACAAAAGCTACACAAGTTCTCTGAACAATGGCAGCAAGATCTTTTTATGACATAACCAATTATACTCGTTTCTTCACATGTACGCACTTACTATGTTTAGTGATTGATTTACACAATTCCATCTGCACATCATTGCTCCCACTACTTCTATTTAAGGCACCTAAATGTAAATCTCAAAATCTCAGCACATGTGTGCATTTCGCCCCCACTGAAGAGAATGCAGATGCTTGTGGTCTAAAGTAGAACCAGCGTCCTTGAGCTTAGCAGCGGGACACCTGACGTGCTGAGCAATAAGTATAGAGCAAGTGTTAGCCAAGCTACTATATCGCACATCTGGGGCGTCATCAGAGAGACACGTGCCAGAAGTACGTCCGCTGTCGAAAGGCCTTCGCGGCATTCGCGACACTCGCATCGTCCTCGCAAAACAGCGGCCGCTTTTGTATTGGGAAGCTTCAACAGAAGCGCGCGTTCATCGCAAGGAGCTCGCACGCCAGCGTGCACAGCACATCTCGTCCCTGACCGAGTGGACTTTCTGAGAATCGAGGCCGGTGCTGCACGCGTCGCGAGCGACGCAAATACACAAACGCCCGCGCTGTGCCTGATTCATCGCCCGGAGCGAGAACGAAGCGATGCACGCCGCTGACGCACTCGCGGCGGCGCTGGCGGCGTGATAATAGGGAGTTTTAGTGCTGGGTACCCAAGCGGCTTGCGTACGCAGAACGTTGGGGAGGCGGTATTGCGCATGCGCGAAACCCCAAACAGATGCGTCGCAAGATCGCTGGGGCGATGGGGCCATGCGTCCGCGCGGTCCACCTTCGCAAGAACTCACGGCATCCGCACTGCGGATACTCTAGCCGTCGAGTTAAAGTAAGCCAAAGTGCGAGCACTTATAGCGATTACACGGTTTCAGCCAGATTTCCAAAGCTAGAATGGCCTGGAACATAGAAACTAAAAGACACATGCCAACCCCCGACCAGCTGAATAGGTGGCGCCATCTAGCGCGGCCATAGTGAAACAGACAACCACAACTTTGTTATTGCAGAAACATTGTGCATTGTACATCTGGTGCAAAAACTGCGCAGCGACAATACTACAAATGAGTAACCTTTTTATTCATTTTCACCTCAAAAACATTACGCGTAAGCTAACATGTTCATGACTGCGGTTGCACGAAGTGTCACAAGATGTCGACACTGTCGTTACAATAACCTTGTATTTCACTTTTTCGCGTATACCAGATTACTGTACACAATAAAAAAGTGTCCTGATCACTATGTATGCTTAATTTAACATTTTAAATCATAAAAAGACTTAAATAATACTTACGCGACAAGAAGCTATGGCTCTGCGAGCGCGTGTGAACTTCGTGCGGCTTGCGTTTGCGTGCGTGCCACCGTGGCGCCAACTAAAAGGCATTCCGGTTGGGTATGGGTTGGGCACGCAACGCCGCGCGTTCCCAAGCCCGCAAGGCCCCAAGAGAATGCGTACCCAGCACTAAAACTCCCTAATGCGGCGCGCGCGAGGGAAGGAGCCGCCCGATTTGAGTGCCGCGAGTGTCTGAGGACGGTGGCTGTTAAACCACGCCTCCGTCAGTCAGACGAGCACGCGACACCCATCGCGTGTGCATTCTAAGCGGGGAAATAATATAATAATAAAGAAACTCCCAAGCATTTCCCCGAGGGTGAACATGGTTAAGTGCGAATGCACGGGGTGATCCTATGAGGAGGAGTAAAGTTAAAATCCGTTGGCATTCGCCAGCGAGTTAACGTAAACTCCCCCGTGTGATCGCATTGCGATTCCCAGGAACCATCAGACCCTCTCGGGAAATTTTGGCGAGTTTACGCGTATATGTGAGAGTAAATTCGCACTATAATGACGTTAATGTCCGCGGCCCTCTTCGCCCGCTTGCACTCGCCATCACGGGCCCTTCGCCGCGCTGCCTCGTCTTCGACCGGCGCGACATCTTCAACGACGCGTGCAATGCTCGCATTCGATTGCGTTGTACTCGTTGTTGGCGGTATCGCAGTCGAGGTTGATGTCTGCGATGGAGGCATACGTACGACGACTTGCCGATCTCGAGCAAGTCGTAGCGGCGCACACAGCCACGGAGCGGAGGGCAGAGCGCACGCAATCACGTGGTGTGTGACGTCGCTGCGCCGTTGCTACAGACGCTCCTCTCCGCTCTTCACACACCGTTGCTAGGGAAGAGGAGGAGACGCACCGCGGACGGCGGATTCAGGGTCGCTTATAAAGTGCATTCGCACTTAATAATGATAATGAACGTGCACTGACGTCGCCCTCTACACGGATTTCTACCATTTTACTCCATCATCGAAATGACTGCGTCGCCGCCTGAATCGAACCCGCCACCTTCAGGTGTGCGAGTGCCATATACACTGCTCCACCACACAGACTTCGCAGGGAAATTATGATAACCACTGCGTAGCTACACATTTTATGCAAGCTTAGTATATATCTTCACCACTTTCCGGCCACGGTGCCCGAAGGTCGCGGCTTCCATACCGGCCGCGGCATAAGAATTTCGATGCGGGCGAAACGCCCGAGAAATGTGCGATTCCACTGCACGTCAAAGAACACCAAATGGTCGCAGTTGCCGGAGCCCTCTAGTACACTGCATCCCACAATCATACCGTGGTTTGATGAGACGTTAAACTACGCGAATTATTATTATTAACAATTTTCCTCTTTAACGTGCTTACCTG